TTACAAAATTTAAACTTGTTTATTTTAGAGCATCGTATCAGTGTTTGCACGCACTAGGTTTTCAAACAAAAGCCCGGTCCCTGGCTGACAGCATAGGAGAGCGGAATGGTCCAGTGCAGCCCCTCTGGCCCAGGGCCCCCCACCCCATGCCCATGCCCCGCTATACAGCTGTGGAAGCAGAGCTGGCTAACCGTACAAAAAAAAAAAAAAAGTGGAAGCAATTCGAAAGCAATTTGAAGGGGTGAATTACAAAAAAGTTGCAGCACCACCTCGTGGACAAAGAGGCTCATTACACATCTTTGAGTGCCTTTGTGGTTACACGCAATGAATCCATGGATGCAACACTTTAATTCCAGGCGACCCAAACTAAACTACATCCAAGGAGTTTTACTTTAATGCACCAAAAATACTTTTAAAGTGTCCAGAAATCCTGCTCATGCACACAGTCATGCAGTTGCAGCACAAGAAAGGGCAAAAAAATGTGGCATGTACAAAGGCCCTATGTGATTAATCTGGCTACAGCTAAAAATCTGGGATGGGGAAGTCTGCCCAAATAGCAAGCTTTTACTACAATATACCAGTTTTGACAATGTTTTTTCCTGTTGATGTGTTGCAAAACTGATCCTGTAAAACTTGCATTTCTTGCACAAGTGAGGAACGAAGTTGATTACCATACAAATAAGTGCAGAATCTTTGAGAGTATGGCATACCAAATATGTTTCTGTTGGAGCTTTACAGTCAACTCTTATACTGTGTACATTTCCTTATAAGGCCAACTCTTCCATCCCCTTGTCTCCTTAGCACTGTTAGGATGGGAGTAACCTCAGGTGGTATGGCACTACTATACTTGGTCGTAAAAGTTTGTTCTTAGCAATGAGTGTCGCATTCAGTCTTTGAAGAAACTTTGCACTAAAAATAGAGAGTATAATCCTTTTGTGTAGGTAGAGAAAAATGCTTAAGAACTTGTTCTTTGCTGTAATCTGTTCAACTAAAGGTCATTCTCAATTTGGAGAAATTCCCTGGCAGTGGTGACACATAAGGGGTGCATGGGGGTGCACCCCTCAGAGCACTGATGCCCCCCCTGACCAGCCGCGCTCCCTGCTTAGGCAATGGGCGGGGGGACACCAGTGCCTGCCCCCCCCCGCCCGCCCGTGAGCGCTGGCCAGGGAGTGGGAGCGCCAGATGTAGGCCGTGACCTGCTTCTGGGAGCAGTGTGGGGCTGTTCCCAGGATGGTAAGCTTTGCCATGGGGGGGACCCCCCCCCCCCCCCCGGGGGGGGGGGGGTCCAGTCACCCTGACTAAGGTAGCGCTAGTTGCCCATGTTTCCTGGAAACTGAGACTGCTTATCTGTCTCCTCTCTCTACACCAGACCTACAACAGGGGTGGTCATGTCTGTGCTAGTTTATGTAGACAAACTGCTTGATTCCATATGGCTGACTCTTGAATTTCCTCCTCCAATGGGAGACCTATCAGCAAGCATTTTAAATCAGTGAGAGACTGGCAGAGAATGACTGTATAGTACCGCCAGGGAGTAGTTCTCAGTTTTGTTGATATTTTATCTCCTTTTCCTACTACCACTTAAGCATTGATATACGAACAGATATCTTTTTTTCTCTGAGGTACTTATTGTTGCTTTTACAATGTGGAGCAACCTGTATATTCAGAATAGCAGAATAGGAAGGGACTAGACACCATAACAGCAATCATGTTCCATCTTGCTCTTCCTGAGACTAGCTATTGCCATTACTTTATTATCTTAGTTCAAGAAGCAAGTAAAGGAATTCTTGACCATAGCAAACTGGAAGCTGGCAATTTTGAAGCACAGCTGGAGACCCCTAGTAAGAACAGGAGCATGTATTTGCAGTTAACAACCTGTGACACTGTGGTGGTCTTCTTGTAACTGTGTTTGGTGATGGATATGATGAAGCATGGTCCCACTTTGTCTCTCCAGTGAAAGATCTTCTGGACCCCAGAAAGAAGCCATCCACAATCCCCTACTACCCTCCCTTTTCATCCTGTCTAGTGGAATTTTTCTTCTGCCTGAATTAGGCTACTTAGTTCCTTGTGCTGGTGGGATAAGCAATCATGACACTTACCGTACCACAATGAGAATGAAAACCTTTTTGATGTCTCCTTTATAAAATTCCTCAAGAGAACTTTCCCAGTGGTCTGTCCATCTTGCTGTGAAATACAAAAGATAGGCCTAGCCCATAATTTATGTCATTGTGCTGGCATATTTCACCCTCCCCAAAGCTCCTATTCTTGACATAAGTATGTGTCTCTGTTAAAAGCCTACAAGTATAGAACTTGCAGCTAAGGTTGGATATCTGTGTCTAAAGAAGTGAAATTCAGCCTTTTATAATGAATCCACTAAATGGTGTTTAAGTCATTCCATTTGTGGATTATAAATTCATCAGTGCTCTGTTGTCTTCAGAAACCTTCACCTCCTCAAACCTGTCTTGTTTGCTTTTTTTTTTTTGTCCTTCCCTTGGAGTACAGTCTTGAATCTATAGCCTGAGAGTCTGAATAATAAATGATTGTACACTATGTACATTTCAAAAGTATGGCTGCAAAGGTCATGTCATTGGTGCAGTTTGCCTCCGTTTGCTCTGTGTGAGAAGTACTTTTATCTGTTTGCACTCATTGAGATATTGAAGCTGACTGGTACTTGTCATCAGATTCCCAAAAGAACCAAAAATGTGTTAACCCACAGAAGACACATTATAGACCAAACTAAAGCAAAAATTACATATCTAGTTTTTAAAAATGGACTTGCTATCCAGAACTCTTGATAGTACTGGATATGAGTCCTGGATCCACTGAACTGATACAGTGCATGGTGCCCCATAACTTCCTGCTACTTAGGGTAAGGAATCAGCTGTCAGTATTGAACTCTTTGTATCCTGCTTGTCACAAGTTGGGAAGAGAGGTAGAATGTGCTCCTAGGTAAGTTAAGAACTCAAAGTAAACTCCTAGTGAAGAGCGGTCAATTTTCAGTTTTGATGTAAATTAGCAAACCAAGTTAATAAGGACTAACCTTCACCAGTTTAACTTGCGTGCAAACTTCCTTGTCTTCACTAGGATTTTTTCTCATTACCATCTCAAATGTAGACAGTGAAGACAAGGCCTGCACATGTGTGCGGCGGGAATTCTGAGTTTGGCTGAGGGTTTCTTTTTGGGGGCAGAAGGACAGGTGTAACTATGTGAGTATGAAATACAATAGGTAGCTATTGTATTGGACATGGATGTGTGAGTTCAGTTTCTATAGTTACACTAATTATTTAAGACTTGATGCTGTAGACCAACCCAGGTCCTTTTTAAATGCCAGTAGTCCTATAAATTATTTTTTTAAGTATAAAAATAGATTTAAATTAATGACATTTTAAAAAATCTGACATTGAAAACTTTAAAATTCTATCATTAAACCATTTCTATTTCTATCATTAGTTTTGTCCCCTTCTCATCCACTTTTTCCCCTCTCCCTCCTCCCCTACATCCCGAAATCCCTTTGACAATGAAAAGCACCTGCTGAAAACCAGGACTCTTATTCATGTTCTGAAGAGCTAGCCTAGCCTTTTTTTAAAGGCTTTTAATAACATTTGGTGTTGCAAAATGATTTCTTTTTCCTTTTCATTTCAATACGAGCCAAGGGGTGGGGAAAATAAAAATCTGGAGTATTTTGACCTTAGTGGCATTCTACAGACTCTTTTAGCTTTCTCTGTTGTTCTGCCAAGCTCCTTTTGTGTTTAAACAGATATCGGACCAAGCTAAGTAATCATTTTTAATAAAAAACATTCTTTTTCCATCCAATTAATGTTGGTGAACATATGGCTCCTAGATAAGGTCCTATGACAACTATTTATGACTTCCTTACTTTCAAAATTGTTGCCCAAGGCATGGATGAAATTTACTTTCCCCAAATATATGGAGGACCCTCTCATGATTGATGTCAAGGAAGTATTTTTGTCACTTGTGATTTCTGTCCTTAAAGAAGAAATAGAGAACTAATAATGGATCCAGATTTGGGATTTGGCTTGTAGTGGTGCCAACAAAGCTTTCTGAAGGGTGGAAATCGACCTCCTCTGTGTCATCTTCAACAGGTGGTAATATCTGTAACTTAACATGAAACGATATGTTTACAATCTGTAATCTGTTAAATTGGATTTCTGTGGGCTATTGCAGAACCAAAACAACACACAGCTTTATGTATAACCAGTACTGTGTGTATCTGGAAAATAGGGTGTCTTTTTCTTTTCTCCTGCTCCCTGGAAAAGGAGTGCTCCCTGGAAAAGAATTTTACATTCTTACCTTGTATGAAAGAGAAGGCCTTGAAGTGTTTCAGTTTTTCTCTGTCCTTTAGATCTTTGTCTTGCAACAAGCAGCACAGAAGGGCATGGCTAACTACATGTTGAGCAAGGCAGCATGCAGCTAAAAGCCTGCAAAAAGGTCATCAATAGTCTCCCTACATCAACTTGCTAAAAGGAGGCAGTGTCACAATAATGAAAATAACAGATGGAAACTGCTTGGCCCCATTATTGGGAAGATTGGCACACCATATACACTTCCATGGTATCCAAGAATTGTCATGTACTAGCTGTTAGTGCTTCAAACAGAGAATGTTGAAAGTTGGCTTTTTAAAAGCTTGATGAATTTATTACGTATGTCCTATATATAGATAATTGTGTAGTCAGGTTTAGGTCTCTTAGACCTACCATGAGTATCAGATCCTTAATTTGTCACCATTGGACATCTGTTAAATGTACAAATATAAAAAGTGCTATTTTGGATCAGACGCTTGGTCCAGGGAGCCCAGTATCCCGTCTCCACCTGTGGCAAGTAGTGGGTGCTTTTAGAGTAGGGGTGTTTAAACTCCCTTGGCTCCTCCAGTAGTAGGCTGAGCAGCAGCATTAAGGGTTGTGTACATCTTCTGTCTTTTTCTCTCTCTCTCTCTCTCTCTCTCTCTCTCCTTTGTGTAACTTCAATTTGTTCATTTTTTTCAGGTATATTATTCTTGTGGTGCAGTGTTGGAATCCATGGAAAGAGGTCTGATTTTATCCCCGGGTTTTCCAAACAACTACTACCCAGGGACACATTGCGTATGGCAGTTTTTCATCCCTGTGCAAACTCATCTTATCCTGGAAATTTTTGATTTTGATATATTTGCGAGCTCAAGTGAAACTCCTGAGCCTTGGGATGGCTTTACATCTCCTCCTACAAGAAGAAATAAGGAAATGCCTTCCAGTGAAGAAAGCTTGGATTTTCCCACCTCTCTTCCTACCACAAAATCCTTTCTTCAGACCTGGATGGCAAGGGTGACTCACAATCTCAACAGCCCAGGACCTCAGTCAAAATTCCTTGATGGCCTCCATAATGAATTCCCAGGAACCACCTTAAAAAAAGATGAAGCCAAACAAGCATCTGAAGAAAAACCGTTGAAACAAATGGAAGAACCCAAAGAAATAGCCAGGACTCAGCCAGGTGGACTGTCATTCACTGTGGCTGGCAATGCTGCAATGCCAAGGCAAAATATCAGTGGCTTAGAAATGAACAAAGATTTGAAAGGGAAAATACTGCTTGCTCACCTCACTGCAAGAGAGAGAGACCAGGTCACTGGAGAAAGCCAGACTCTTTCCACAACAGCTTTGCCAACAGAAAGCTCTTCCCCACAGCAGCCTTCAATAGATGTGTGTCCCCATGATGTCTTGTATGTTTCTGACCTCATCACATTTTCCTCTCGCTTTTGTGGGACAAATTCACCTTTAAACAAGACCATGGTCTTCGGTTCTTCTCTGGAGATGGTAGAGGTTATTATGGAGCTGATCACCACCACAGACCGTGGGCGGGGCTTTGCAATGCTCTTTGAATACAAGAACATCACTAAACCTAGCAGTGTAGATGCTGGGAGGCAAGAAGGAAAGAAAAACATGATGATGCTGACAGTAGTAATGGGAATTGTCATTTTTGCACTCATTCTTTTGTCCACCCTCTGCATAACTTGCAGGTAAGATTTTAATATATTTACTTACTCTGAGTTTTTCAAACTGACCCTGCTATGAAATCAAGCTGTAGTTGATGTCATGAAGATGACCCCAATTGTGAAGGTTTTGCTTTGTATTAATTCAAAATCAAATGTGGATAGATTAATTTTCCACCAGGATAAAACCTGGCTAAATTTCTGCTGATCATATACCATTAATTCTAAGAATGTCTCCCTATTAAAGTCTTCAGTATTGTACGTATTTTGGGTTTGAAATCTATTAGCAGTTATACACTGACAGTATTGAAGCTTGAAGTTTAGTGCAACTTTACCAACACAGAGCAGAAGACCAGACTTTCTCTGGGCACTTTGGGCCCAAAAGCTTGTCCAGCATCTCTCTGTACCACTGGTTCAATAAAAGTTACTGCCAAAAAAATGCTTGCTTCTCATAAAGCTGTCAAAAGCATGCTTCACCAGTAGATTTAATTTCCCTATATTTCTTCTTTCCTTTGCTTAGATTAGTGGCTCTCAAACTGGGGGGCACTAATCACTGGGGACATACAGCAAACTTCTGGAGACCAGACAATAATAATAAATAGGAAAGAAGAATAATGGCGAGGAAAAATTTATAAATGAGGAAAAGAGAATAAGTGGAAAAGAAGGAGAAAATCTCTGCAACATCTCCTGGACAGTTGGGGAAGATGCACTGTGAATGATTGAAGTGACATAGTGTTGTTTTATTATCAATAACACACAATCTATAGGACTTCAGTCGCATGACAAACTTTATAATAACTTTCTCGGAGTTGCTTTTTAAGAACTGTTGGTGCAGGCTAACAGTGGTGTGCTTCAAGAGGTGTGGTTAGGGACAGTGACCAGATGATACCTGAAAGGATATCAAAGTCAGGGCACCTATACACGTGCCAGATGTTTTCTCTGATGTGTGCTAATTAATCGAGTCTGCTGGAGCATGTTAATTAACACACTCTAGCAGCCTCTGCGTCACATCTGTTCAGCATCCCCATGCTTCAAAATGGCAGTGGGGGCACTTGGACTAAAGCCTGCCATTTTGAAGTGCAGGACACTGCATACACATAACACTGAGGGCACTTTAATTAGAGTGACTCTCGGATCTGCTCTAATTAAAGCACACCCCGCACCCACCCTGGAGCACATGTGTAGGCGCCCACATGACCTTATATCACCCCGCTTGTCCTACTATTTCTTTGGTCAACATTTTAGCTGAAATCTGGTTTTCTTCACACAGTGTTGTTGGGGTTTTTTGCTGGAAAAATGTCATTCAAGCTCCTGTCACTGTGTAGAGATCTGCAAAAGCACGACTGCTGGGAACAGCATCCACTCTTCCAGGGCAGGATCTGACTGTCTTAATAATGACACTGGCCTTACTGTTCCTCCTGTCCCCACTGTAAGAGATGAATCTGAGGACCTAGAGATTACAGCTTCCTTTACTGCATGTGCTTGACTTTTTACCAGACCAAGCTTGTTCTAAGCACTAAATGAAGCAAACCGGCTTTTGTAGGGGAAAAAAAACATGCAACCACCAAATCATTAAAGTTTGTATCAGAATGCATAGGTGCAAGAAGGCTGCATGGAGGTTGCACAGGTAAACTAAATTCAGGCTTCTCAGTTTAGTGTTTACTGTAGTGTCTTATCTGTAATAAACATAGCAGTATTTTAAAGAGTTCTTAATATTTTAAGGTGTTGTGTTTAACTTTTCATTTTGTCTTATCAGAGTGGGGTCCCTGGACATCCGGAGTAGATATAAAACATAGTCCATCACTGCACTATGTCTAAAGGGATGTAGACAAAGTGGGTACGAACAAACATAGTCTCCCTTTTCTGTACATAGAAGTTTCTGCCTTCAGGATCTCACTGTAATTTTGTTTATAAATGAAACCTTGCATAACTTTAAGAGTTGGATTTGCATGTTATACCTAATCTCTTTTTTTCCCCTTTCTTAAAGGATCCTGCTAAATACTGTAATTTAGACTACAAATATTTGCCAGCCCTAAACTGGAAACATCTGCTAGAAATATCTTCCAGATTTTAAATATTTGATTTTTAAACTCTTGCCAATCTTAAAGGAAGAAAGAGAAGCTGCCATAGTAACGGTTGGGGCCAGATTCTGGGCCAGATTCTGATACGCTTTCTCGGGTTGTGTAGTTTCTTTTTCCTTAAATTATCTCACTCAGTTTGTGGAACTCAGCGTGGAGCATGGTAAAGCTCAACCCAAGAAGTGGGGGTTTTTTTGGCTTCCAACCTGTCGAACAACACTCCGAGTCCACTTTGAAAGGCATCCTTACTTTGACATTAATCTTTCTACAAATAAGAGGCAATATTTTGGCTTTGGAAACAAGACTGTTTTCAAAATAGTGAATAAGTTTGGTCATAATATATGGAATGCAGTTTTGGAGGGTTTTTTGTTTTTTAACTTTTATACAGATCTCCCAAGAACAAAGGCTATTGTGAATATATATAACTATGATTAGAGTTGCAGAAAAATATTTTGTCTCCGAGTAGCTTGGCTCCTGGCTTTTTGCACTGCTGTGCTTTCAAGGATACAGTTGTTTAGTTATGTAATGTGCATATTTATACTCTTTGCTTGCTTACTATTTTTCTATTCCAGTGGACTATACTCGTATGCAAACCTGCCTGTCTTTCCAGAGGCTGGCTATTTGGTGTATATATATTGATTTATTGTCAAACTTTTTGTATGGATGGTGAAATCTCTGCTGATTTAGCCAGTTTCCATAATGTTGGCAGAAGCTATACTATTTTTCTTTCTCACCATTTTATCTGTACAAGTCTATGATCTAGCCACAGCTAATCAACTATTTTGGGTTTTTTTGTGCAGCTTGGCCTAAAGTTTACAATACCTAGTAATCATGGACATTTCAAAAGCACATTTCAGAGCGGATGGAAAAAAGTCCAACCACCAAATGCTTCTGATTTGTGTGTGGCCCAAATAGAGATTTAAGCTGAGGTGTCCTCATTTTGTTTTACTTGCAGAAAATGTTAAAAGTAGTCAAATCTGCAAAAGAGGGAGACTAAGAACAAAGAGAAGGTCTGAGATGTCAGGTAAGGTTGACATCTGATTTTGGCCCAATAGCACAGGGATGGGAAGGTGGGTTTGAAATTCAGGGTTTGGTTGTGTCCATTAGAGCAGTGTTTCTCAACTCATGGGTCATAACCCAAAAATGGGTCACAAGAACATATGAAAGGGTTGCGAACAAACTTTAAAAAATGGATTCTCCTTTAAAGGAGAAAAATGTGGGAAAACGTGGCTTTTCTCTTGCAGGCTGGCAGAGTTCCACCCTGTGAGGGGCTGCTTGGGGGCCCCCCTGCCCCACACAAGGGTGGGAGGGAGGGCTGTGGCCTGGGGGTGGAGGGCAGTGAGTTGGGAGTGAGGGGCAGTGGGTTGGGACTGGCCACTGTTGTTTACAAATGGGTCCTGCTACAAAAAAGGTTGAGAAGTGGGAGCCGTAACACATGGGTACACATTGTAGAGATTTCAGTGTCCTCTGCTGAAGTTGGCTTTGGAATAGCATCAAGCATGGGGAAATTCTAAATTAAAGATGAAGCAGATGCCCTTTTTTTGTGAAATCTTGGAATGGCAGCTCAATCTGAATTTAGGTCCAGTGGAACCAGTTGCCTCAGTTGAATTCTCCTTCTTAGAATTTTTTTTTAACATATCTCCTTGAGGACCAGCTTGCCTGGTATGTAGAAACACATGTTTGAATGGAAAGAATCCCACAAAGAGGCACACAATCTGAAATGGGACCCGCACCCGGGGAATGACAACACCGTGCCTAGGATGTCGCCTTGTAGAGGAAATGCCACTAGAAGATGCTAACAATAATCTCCAAGCTCTTTTGGTCTTCTGAATTGTTCTTCCACCTCCCCCTTTTGTTTTTTACCCTGCCACTGCCTGCTTCTCTAGCAGCAGAGCAAGTTGGAGTTTAGATGCACATTCCCCACATTTAGCTGCCACTGTTTCTCAGCTAAAAGTAGCAGGTTCTGCCTTGCCAAGCCCGTCTGTGCCATGTCTACCCCTGGCACCTAGTATCATTCTAATGAACAGTCATCAGCAATGTCAGACTGCTCAGACTCATTTCATTCAGCCAAAGCAAAGCTCTCTGGGGAAACTCCAAGTTTCTGCCACACTGTTGCTTTTGTTTGCTGTTTGGGGAGGGAATGAAAGCTTCAGTTGTTAGTTGGCCAATAATTCTAATTACTTTTGGCCAAGAGGCCTGGCTTGACTACTTGGAGTTTTTTAATTTTCTTTCCCAAGCCCGCTAGGACAAGAGACATGTCCACCTTATTTAGTTTAAATCTTGCCTGATGCAATGGGACTTTTGCTCAATGGGTGCAACCCATGAGATACAACTACATTTTACATCTTTACAGCCTGCCCAAAAGCTGATTCTGAGCAGAACCTTTATGTTCACAGCTGTTTTATGGGGAGGTTCACCCTATCCCGCCCCAGGTTGCTATAAAGGGTTTCTACTTTCAGTCTGACTTTCGCTTGGTGGGTAGAAACATCATGAGAATGGATCATCTAATACAATTCCATAATAATTATGAATAGTTGGGTTATAAAGCATTACTGGCCAGCCAGTTGCCAAGTACTTCTTAGAACCATAACACTTCCCAGGGGAATCTCGCAAACACTAGAGATCTCAGGGTCAAAAGCTGAATGGTTAACTGCCGGTCACTGCAGCTTTGTGCTGTGCATGGTATCCGGGGTATGTTCTTCTTGATAGGCTTCAGTGCCTTCCACCTCTGTTTATTTCTCCATGTGGGATTCTTTCCATTTAAATACACATGTTTCTGTTTCAGCAGTCTTGTGCTGTAGAAGGGAAGGCATTGGGACAGCTGAAGTCCATGAGTGCACACCAGCCTATTATCTGCACTATGGACAGACACTTTCAGTCCATAGGACTTGCAAGCAGTATGTGAGCACATCTGTCGCTTTAAATTGTTTCTTTTCCTCCGGATAAGTGCATGTGTGCATGTAGCAATTGTGCTCATCACTATAGTAAGAACTCTGATTCTATGTAGGTCTAATAAAACATGTCTTATGCTAAAAATTATAAGGTCGTCAAAAATTATTGTTCTGTGGCTGATGGGACAATGTCATATTAGTCTGGGAAAGAGGAAACTTGTTAGCAGCTGTTATAGCTTTTCTTCCCGGCTTTTAGTTGAACTGCAGTTTTTAGACAGGCCTCTATCAGACCCTCCCTTTCACTGTACATGTACTAGGGAATATATAAGACATTTACCATTTATTAAATTAATGTAATTAATGCATGCATTCTGTGGTGTTTTTGTTGCATATATTTAGGGTGTTGTGCAGTGGTGTATCAGGAGCATATCACATCCTGAATGCAAGCTAGTGACTTTCTCAGCTGTTTCATAGTGTGTGACACAGCAGTCATAGTTCTGTTTTCCAGTGTCAAAATAAGAGATGAGCCTAACTCATCTGACTTCTGGCTTCTATTAATACTGGAACATAATCTGAAACTATTCTGAGGGGAGTGGTATACTATGGTGCACAAGAATTAAAGGTGGGGATCTTTAGACAAACATTCCTTTGTATAGTTCATGCGGTGTTTAAAGGGTAATCAGTATTTTTCCCTGATGAGGAATTGGTATCTCCAGGATTACTTCAAGGTTAGTGTTAGACCAGTCTGAAAGCATATGTCTGTGTTTGTCCCTGTTCCCCTCCCTGTGAGAATTCAAGATCTGTTAGCAACTTCAAAGGAAAACTTCAATTTTTTCAGTAAGATTCAAACCTGGATTCTTCTGCTGAAAGGAGACTGAATCAGAGGGTGTCATTGGGGCCTCAGCAGTTGCAGTTGGGGATGGGATTGGCTTCACATATCCACTGTACTCTAGTCTAGGTTTCTTTGCCAAACTCCCTCGCCAGACTCAAGCTGCCATGATGTACTGTAGTTTTCTGGAGCCACTGCAGCGCATCATGGGAGATGTCATATGTTTTGGTAACTTCTCCCAAAGAGGACAATGGGGGCATGAGTCCTCCAGACTCCAGTTTCTATTTCTTTTAATTAAACTTTTGATTTCTGCCAAAATCTTCTTGTTTTCTTCAGCTAAAAACAAGATACTTTTTTTAGAGGGGTGTGTGTGGTTTTCTTTGACACAAACCCAGAACTTTTTGTGGAACACCGGATGCTTTTTTTCCCCCCACACAGTCTTTGATGAAATCCCAGTCTTCTGTCAGACTGGGATGTTGTTTCTACTCAAACCAGCCAGCCAGCTTAAGTTAGCCTTAAATGGTCTCCATTCTCTTACTGGTATGAGATAGATATTTCAGTTATTTCCCTCTACTTAGAGCAAGAAATAGCTGTGGTGTTTGTTAATACGCTGTTATGGTAACTGTTAATGAATGGTGATCACTGTGTTTGTGAAGCTTTGTGTGGCATTCGCTCTTTCTACCTGCATTTTGTGGCCATGTCATTGGAGGGAAGTGGGACAGAATCTGACTACAGATAGGGTCCTTTAAGTAGTGATTTGAATTCCTAAGGCCAAAGAGTTGTTGAGAGTTGATGGGGGGAGTTGGCTGTAACACACATTGTGCCTTAGTTTTTCTGTACCCCCTCCCTACTTCCAAAAAGTCTATTGACTATTGCCCCAGCTTACTATTGCCAAAGAGAAGTATTCACTACTAGATGACCTGAGAGCCTCACCCGCTAAATTTTAATATATCAAAAAAAATTGTATGTGGAGGAGGGGAAATGCTAAAAATATCATGGCACTAATTGGGACATGCAATTGTTTGCTGTTCAGTAGCGCTGATCAACATCTCTTGTCTGCTCTACATTGTAAGCTTGTGGGCAGAGCCTTGGTGTTTGTTCCTAGATTACTATAAATTGTCTGAGGTGGTATTGCTATACACCTAAATGATGCTTCTTTTTTTACAACACTTTGATCTCTGTCACTGGTGCCTGTTCTTCAAATTTTACTGATCCTGGTGGTTCTATAATGCCGGTTTTGGAACAAGATATTTTGGTGTGGATCTTACTAGGGGAATCTGATTTCACAGTTTTAGAGATCAGTGGCTGCTGTTTTTCTGTAGCATAATCTTTATTAAAAAAAATAACATCTGACACCTCTTGGCTCATGAAAACTAATCCAAAATACATTGTTCCTAGTCATGAAATGTGTTGCATTAGTGAGGTTACTGAATTATGTTCCAGCACAAGACTAAGGGAGAAACTAAAGGTCTGTTCTTTTGAGGAGAGTTTAATGGTACTTGAGATGATACATGGCTTCCACTTCTGGTTCTGCTGTAGACCTGTTGTAGTATCTTGGAAAGCCTAGTTAACTACTTCTGCCCTGGTTGACTTCCTACTGAGATGCATTTTCCCTTGTTGGCCTTGCTACAAGAAGGCTGGTAAAGTGCTTTGGACTCTCAGAAGTAGAAATGTAAGCGCATAGTCATTACGTTGTTGTGTTCTGTTTTTTGTCCCCTATTAGATCACGGATGAGAACGTTCCTCCTTTGGAATTTCTAACTCATTCTTGGGCTGTTTGCTCTCTTTCTCAGGCAGAAAATGTGTCCCAAAAGGAGCCCTGCCAATGTGCACAGTGACCAGGAGGTTAGTGTTAATTGTTTCAGTAATTTGTTTCTCTTTTGCACATTGGCTGTTATGTTGTTTATCTGAAGATGTTTACTGGGGCATGTTCTGAGTTGTAGAATGGGATCCAGAACTCTGCTGTTGATATCAATGAGCTCCAGCTTGTGGTGCCAAGTCGAGAGAATGAAAACAACAACCACTCTGTCAGCTGGGAGCAAGTGGGTAAGCAGCACATGTTGGTTCAGCCTGGAGCCCGTTGTCTGTTAAGGGAATTCGTTCTCCTTCCCAGGAGCTGCTTCTCCAGCTGTGTGCGCAGTGATGTGGATGTGGTACAAGGCTTGCCATACAGAAAGGCTTTTAGCGTGGGCTTATCTCTTCCTGCTCTTTCCATTTGCACTGGTAGAGCAATTCCCTCACAAGCAACACTCAGCAGTGTCATTTCAGAACTCTACTAATAAAACCTGTCCCATCCAGCAGCATAGCATTGATGCAAGATGAGCAGAGCAGATGTGTCCTTGGTTCATTCTGTCACAGGCCTGGCAGCAAAAACACCTAGAAAATCTGCAAGTTTTTCTTCTACCCCTTCCTTATTTGAGGAGAATGGCTTTGTGGAATCTGTGTTTGTGTGTGTTGGATTACCTGGAGTAACCGTTTGTCCACAGCAAAATAAGAAGTACCATATTGGGTCAGACCAATGGTCCGCTTTGCCCAGTATCCTGCCTCTGACAGCAGCAGAAGTGGATGCTAATGGGAGAGCACTGAACTAAGTAGATCTAGAGCAGGGGTGGGCAAAATGCAGACCGCAGGCCAGATGCAGCCCACCAGGCCATTCTATCTGGCCTGCGGGGCCCCTAAAAAATTTAGAAAATTAATATTAATTTTTCCTGGCTGCCTGTCATGTGACCCTCGATGGCTTGCCAAAACTCAGTAAGCGGCCCTCCACCCAAAATAATTGCCTACCCCTGATCTAGTGTGATCTGTTCCCTATCCATTATCCTTCCTGATATCCAGCATTATTGGTATAGAGATGCCAGAGATCTCCAACCATTCTGTTCAACAGCTATTAAACAGATCTATAATCTATTAATTTGTCTAGTTTCTTTTTCAACCTGACTATGCTATCTGCCTTTACCACCTCCTGTGGCAATGAATCCTAAAAGTTAACTGTATGTTGCATAAAGAAAAAAAAGTGCTTTCGCCTGTTAGTTTTAAATCTGTCTCCTAGTAATTTCAGCAAGTGCCCCCTAGTTTTATTATTCTGGGACTTGGTGAACAACAGTTCCCTGTTTACTTAGTCCACGCTCTTCATGATTTTATAGACCTCTATCATATTCCCCCTCAGCCACTGCCTTTCCAAACAGAAGCGTCCTCACCTTTTTAGTCCCTTTTGGTATGGCATCAGTTGCATACCCATGATCATTTTGGTTGGTCTTCTCTGTACCTTTTCCAATTCTACTACATCCTTTTTGAGATGTGGAGACCGAAACTGCACACAGTATTCAAGATGTGGGCACACCATGGATTTGTATAATGGCATGATGATGTTCTCCATTTTTTTTCTATTCCCTTCCAGGTGCATTACCTTACACTTATCAACACTGAAGTTCATTTGCCATTTTTTGCTCACTCACTTAGCTTGGTGAGATCTTTCTGCAGCTCCTTCCCATCAGATTTAACTACATGGAATAATTTGGTATCATCTGCAAACTCAGAGATTTCACTGTGCACCCATTTCCAGGTCGTTGAAGAAGATACTAAACAAAATTGGGCCCAAATGTGATGCTAATTGAGAGTGAGCTATCTACTGCAGTGCAGTCAAAATGAGGCCATGAGAGGCTCAACTACTGACACTGTCTGTGGTTTGATGGATCCGTTAAAGCCATGACCTATGAATTGTACCCCTGTTCTTCTGGCTGGTAAAAGACAGAGGGAGGGTCCTGGGCCTTGTGTTGGAGATCATCAATGTTTGTATCAAGAGTGTTGGCTAGAAAAGAGCTTGAGTCCAGCTTAAATCAACCCTGAGTTGACTGCGTTGCTCACTATAGACAGCTTCCAAATGCCCTTTATGGGGAAAGGTCACTGAGAAGATTGTGGTGGGACAGATCTGGCAGTCTGAGTCTTCAGAGCTCTTTGACCATAACAAAAAAGATCATAAACTTTCATATGCAATGAGCACAATTTTGGAGGTTTTTTGGAGCTCATTTGAGATTGAGATTGCCTGAACCCCATGAACAGCACTAAAACTACATCTCTTATATCCACATACTATATAGGTTCCAATCCAGAACTAAATCTGGGAGTTTGGATATGATGTTGAGGTTTGGCCCAGCTCTGTTTGAACGTGGGCTTTTGGATTTTAGTCCCCTTTGGCTCCTCTCCAGATTTCAGCAGAATAGGGCAAGTTAATGGTTCAGTGACAGGCTGACTTTTTGTGCAGATCTGTATAGCAGCAAGGGGGTATTTTTTGCAGTTCTACCCCTGTAGTAGGTTGAAAAAAAGGAGGTTAGGGTATTTGCCTAGACTAAGCATTTGAGAAATTTTTGTCTTTTCCCCATAGTCACTTCATCTGGTGGCAGCACAGACCGCTCTCCTCAGCTGACTGACCCAGATGTGCCTTCTTCCACATCAGCAGTGACCACTGAAACTGGGAGCGATGAAGTATTTATTATTTCAGCTGGCCCTGGTCCCAGTGGGTTGAGTTTTACCACATACAGAATACAGGTACACCCATCTGGGCAATGGGGTTGGGGATTTAACATCTTCTGCAGATTGGGTCCAGCATTTAAAATCCACATCTCCACTTTCTCCCAGCATATCCTTTGAACACTGTACCTACAGTGTTCCAAACAGGAACTCTCCTGTTTGTTATTGCTTTTCAGCCCTTCCTTATTGTAGTGTCCAATGCTCTTGCTGGTTGAGGCTGATTTGGAGATTTCATGGTTGAATAACACAGTTCCTTAACCAGAGCGGCCACTGCATGACATGTTCTGTGCTTGGTCTCCATAACAAACCTGGCTGTTGTTGACTTGGAGAGCAAGTGAGACTGAATGGGATCAGAATACCAAAATGAATCTTTCATGTCAGGGGAGAGCACTGCCAACAGCTTCTATGACATGCCCAGTGCAGTCAATTTAGGTGCTAACATTTCCTGAAGATAGAATTTGGCATGAAATAATTTCTAATGATTGGAAGAAGGAACTGGGAGTTGGACTTCTCACATTCTGCATCTGGCTCTGCCATGGACTATATGGAGGCAAGTTACATGATCACTTGTTCAGTAGTTCAGTTTCTCCATTTGCCAGGAACAATTATTCTGCCTGGCTGTTTCTGAAGGTTGTTAGTAGATACCTGCCAATAAATTGGGCCTTTCCTGTGAGACTGGCAGGACTCTTTGGAGAATTGTTTTTGTTTATAAAAACTAAAGCTGCATAGAGGCCTTTCTAGTCTGGCTGATACTTTGATTTTAGTTCACTCTCTCTTGCAAGTCTTCCAGGTGTTTCTTTGGAAATGCAGATGGTTGACAAGCAGTTGTGCTCACATTTGGCTCAAGCATGCAGGGTAGTGATTTAAGCATCAGTGGGTGTATCTACATGTGAAATTAAGATGAAGCAATGAACTCCAGAGCTCTTTGAGCTGGAATAAACTGCTCCCAGGTGCAGTATTTACACATGCGCCTGGGACAACAGCAGTTTGAGCCGGGGTGGAACAGGCCTGGGTTGGCAGGGGGTGTGGAGAGTCAATTATGGGCTTTGGGTGATGGCGGTGATGGGGCTGGCTGGAGCATGGGGTTGTTGAACCTGTGGGGCTAGGTGGCAGCCAGGAGTCTGGCCCCTGCCTGGTCACCATCTACATGTGTACTTCAGTGCAGTTAATTACTCTGCCATAAGATAGTATTGTCCCTGACAGCACTATCTTACAGCAGAGTTAATTAGTTTACTGGCGCACATGTAGACAGTAATACTTTAATGTGGGGCTAATTAGTCTACTCTGCAGTCAATTGCACATTTAGATGCACCCAGTTTAAATCACTTATGACCCAATACTTGAAATCTTTCCAGGATCATCAATTTATTTTGTGCTAAGTGTAGAACAAGTGAAGGATCTTGCTAGCTTCTATATCTCAGGTGACTCTATACTAGGGGCACTAAGTAGTAGCACTAAGTAGTGGATCTAGGTTCGTCGGGGAAAGGGGAGGACAAGTACGGAGGGAGCCACGGAACACCAAACCAAGAGACACCCACAAGATCAGCCCAGGTATGTAGCAAAGATTCTGTTAGACAGCAGTTTAAGGGGGGACCAGGAACAGCCACCAGGGGAATTGGGTGTATATACACAAATGCCAGAAGCATGAGAAACGAGCAGGACCTAGAGCTCTTGCTAGTGAGCAACAACTTTGACCTAGTGGGACTAACTGAAACCTGGTAGGACTCTTCTCAGGACTGGGTGGTGGGAATAGAGGGCTATAGGTTATATAGGAGAGAGAGAGTAGGGGAAAAAAGGTGGGGGAGTTGCTCTCTATGTCAAAGAACAGTACACATCTTTCCTAACCAAATTAGGGTCAGAGAGTGGTCAAGCAGAGACTCTGTGGGTTAGGATCCAAGGGGCTTGGGGTGAAAGGGATCTGGTGGTGGGGGTCTACTACAGGCCACTGCAGCAGGATGATGAGCTAGACTGGGGATTTTCCAAGCAGCTCGAAGAGGCTGTGTGGTCTAGAGATATAGTAGTCATGGGGGGACCTTAACTACGCAGACATATGCTGGGAGGAGCAGTCAGCTAGATCCTAACCGCTCTCTCAGGTTCTTAATCTGTATACAGGACCTCCACCTAACACAGGAGGTAAGGTGTGCCACCAGGGGCAACGCCTTGCTCAACTTGGTGTTGGCCACAGGGGATGACCTGGTGGGGGACCTGAGGATTCAAGGCAACTTAGGGGACAGCAATCAACAAATGATAAAATTCACTGTCCAGTGAAGGGTGGGCATTATATCCAGCAGAGCCCGGGTGCTAAACTTTAAAAAAGCTGACTTTAATAGACTCAGGAGATTTGTTAGCAGGGTGCTAGGAGCTAAGAACTTAGATGCGTTGAGGGTCCAGGATGGGTGGACATTCCTCAAGGAAACCATTCTTTGGGGTCAGAGTGAGTCAATCCCATGGCAGAGGAAAGGGGGCCAGGAAGCCCTTTTGGCTAACCAGGGGCATCCAAGATACCTTAAGGGCAAAAAAAAAGAGGCATACAGGAAGTGAAAGGAGGGGGTAGCTAGCAAAGAGAAGTGTACTTCTTTGGCCCACATCTGCAGGAAGTCGGTCAGGAAGGTCAAGGCAACTCTAGAACTCAGGCTAGCATCAGGGATTAAGGAGAATAAAAAGTCCTTCTTTAGGTATGTTGGGAGCAAAAAGAGGGTGCGGGGGAGCATAAGACCCATACAGGACGGGCAGGGGGGCTTAGTGATGGATAGCAGGGACAAGGCAGAGCTCTTCAATGAGTTTTTTGCCTCTGTCTTCTTAAATGGGAATCTAGACGAACCCTCAACATACATCACGGACACCAACAAAGGGAACATCAGCCGACCAACGGTCAGTGCCGACACGGTAAAAAGACACTTGGAGGGACTGGACGTATTCAAATAACCGGGACCGGAGGGACTCCACCTATGGGTAATGAAGGAATTCGTGGGGGTCATAGCTGATCCACTGGCAAGGATATATGAGTGCTCATGGTGCTTGGGTCAGGTTCTGGAGGATTGGAAGAGGGCTAACGTCGTCCTAATCTTTAAGAAGAGGAGGGAGGAGGACCCGGGGAACTATAGACCAGTCGGTCTTACTTCTATCCCTGGGAAAATCCTAGAAAAAATTATCAAGGAGCACATCTGTGGGAACCCGCTGGCTAATGTGATGCGGAGGGGTAACCAACATGGGTTTTTAGCAGGCAGGTCCTGCCTGACTAACCTAGTTTCCTTTTACAACAAGGCCACCAATTGTTTAGGAGTTGAGGTGGATGTTATCTATCTGGACTTCGAGAAGGCCTTTGACAAGGTATCCCATACCATCCTTATAAATAAACTGAGGGGATTTGCCTTGGATGATTATATGGTAGACTGGGTAGCAAATTGGCTCAAGGGTCGCACTCAGAGGGTGGTAGTGGACGGGTCGGTGTCATCCTGGAAAGATGTGGGCAGTGGAGTCCCTCGGCTCAGTTCTGGGGCCGGTGCTGTTCAGCATCTTCATCAGTGATCTGGATGAGGGGGTGGGAAGCACCCTGTCCAGATTTGCAGACAACACAAAATTATGGGGGTGCAGCTAACACCCTGGGGAGGAGGAACCAGATCCAGGCTGACCTAGACAAATTGGGGAAGTGGGCAGAGAGCAAAAGGATGTAATTCAATAAGGATAAGTGCAAGGTGCTGCATCTATGGAGGAAGAGCTGCCATCATACCTACAGGCTGGGGGGCAACCTTCTGAGCTCCACTGAGGCAGAAAAAGATCTTGGAGTCACTGTTGACTCCAGGATGAACATGAGTCGCCAATGTGATGAAGCAGTTGGCAGAGCCAATCGCACCTTGTCGTGCATCCATAAGTGCTTCACAAACAGGTCCAGGGAAGTGATTTTTTCCCCCTCTGTGTAGCTCTGGTCAGACCACAGCTGGAGTACTGTGTCCAGTTCTGGATGCCACCATTCAAGTGGGATGCGGACAACCTGGAGAGGGCCCAAAGAAGAGCCACTCGCCTGATTAGAGGCCTGAAGGGAAGGCCCTATAAGGAAAAGCTAAGGGACCTTAACCTTTTCAGCCTCTTCAAGAGAAGGCTGAGAGGGGACCTTGTGGCAGTGTACAAATTCATAAGGGGAGAGCAACATGAAGTAGGTGACAATCTGTTCACCAGGGCATCCCCTGGAATGACAAGGAACAATGGCCATAAGCTACTAGAGAGAAGGTTTAAACTCGACATTAGGAAAAAGTTCTTCACAGTCAGGGTTGCCAGAATCTGGAATGGGCTCCCAAGGGAGGTGGTACTCGACCCATCCTTGGGGATCTCCAAAAAGAGACTGGACAGGCACCTGGCTGGGATCACATGACCCCAGGGTTGGTGACTCTCTTCTTGCCTGCCAGAGGCAGGGGGTTGGACTGGATGGCCCACTGAGGTCCCTTCCAACTCTATGAATCTATAACATCTAGCTCTTATTGGAGGCCTGTACAAGGCAGTGTAGTCCCTGAAGAAATAAGTTTGGGTGGGATTTTCTTGAAGTTGTAACAAATATGCACTCAGCTGACTGACCCAGATATGCCCTCTTCCATCTCAGTAGTGACTACTGAAACAAAGATCCCAGCAGCTCCAGAGCAGCCCCCAGCCCTGCCAGTGTGGCTGGGGCCAGTCTCCTTGGCAACCCTAGCCTTGCGCTGTCATAGCACAACTGCATCTGGGGTCTCCATGGAGATCAGCCCCAGCCAGGCAGGCAGGGGCTGCTGGGAAATGGAGTCTGGCTGCTGGCTGGATGCAGCCCATGGGCTGGACTCTGCCCACCCCTGGTTTAATGCTTGTCCTTCTTCCAGTGGCTAATTGGTAAATCTACAGCAGCACTTTGCATTTTAAACGTCTTAGAATCTGAAGAGAAGAAACACTGTGCAGAAAGAGAGATCAGTTTAGGTTGTGCATAGATTTAAAACTATTCATAGAATCATAGAAAATTGGGGCAGAAGGGACCTTGGGAGGTCATCTAGTCCAACCCCCTGCTCAAAGCAGGACCTTCCAACTAGATCATTCCAGCCAGGGCTTTGTCAAGCCAGGCCTTAAAAACCTCCATGGGCAGCAAGCAATTCCACCGTTCTAGGTAAACTGTTCAGTGCTTTGCCACCCCCCTAGTGAGCTTTTTTTCCTACTATTCAACCTGAACTTCCCTTGTTGCAATTCTTTGTTATCTGACACATGCTTTCTGCCTGCATCATCACCACTGGCGCTCTATCCTGAAGTAGGTAGACTGAGGGACTTGGCCTTTGCAAGATGTATACTCTCTCTCCTGGGTGCTTCTCCCTATTGGTAAGACTACCACCTGGTGGTGATGAGAGTGCTGTAGCTCAGGATGGAAAATCTGTATTTTGCCCCTTTCCTTCATGAAGTTCTGAGTATTTCTGAGGAATCCATGAATGGCCATCCTGCAGATAATCAGCACCTTATAGGCCATTATTGCTGTGCCCACATGATGTATTGGAGGATATAAAATGTCAAAGTCACACCTCATTTGATCTTAAAGGGCTGATAATTCAGTAGGATCCCTACATAGGTACCTGTTCATGGCCAAAATTAAAAGACTCTGAATTACGTGTTAAGATTCAGGCTTGTTGATGACTGACGTGGTGGACCTCACCAGGAAGGACACAAAGAGAAGTAAGTCCTGGATTTTCAGCATGCTAGGAGCCATGTTGTCTGATCTAGGTACACACTATGCCTGCATTATGGCTGTTGGAAGTGCATGTACTGATTTACACACTCAATTTAAATGCAAGGCACAGATTTGACCTTGAGTACAACTATATCTGTAGAGGTTTGGAAAGAGGGCTCTTAATTTCAGCAAAAGTCCCCTAATATGGCCTGATTTGTGTGCACTATGTTCTGTGAGCCAGCACTGGGCACATAGTTCAGGTCATCTACTGGACTGTTGTTCTCCTCTTGGCATGAGTTGTGACATTACCCTAATGTTTATGGAGGTGTGAAATCTTGAGCCTTTACAATAAACAAGGCTTCCAGACTCGCCGTACCAGAAATGCTTGTCTAGACAAAGAAAACTGTAAGAAGCTTTGCAGAAAAGATTATCCAAATCCTTTTACTGAGAAATAGTAGTTGGCCACCAGCTCCCTTGCCTCCCAGTGAGAGTGGGCCTGAGTTCTGCTGAGGAGGGGTCAGTGATAGGCTGGTTTTTTTTTAACAACATAGCAGAAAATTAATCCACTGTCAAGAGTCAAGGCTATACCCATGCAACAGCTGGGGGAGAAAATAAATTCTGCATTGTGCTACTGCAGTTGTGGAGATGGGGAAAGACACTGATGAGTGGAGGAAATGCATCCTGGCTATATTGTGTGGGCATATAGACAACCTCTAAGAAAACAAGCAGTATTTCTATTTTAGAACAACTCTTAAGCCTGTATTTTTGCCTTCACCATCTGCTTCTCTTTGTACTGCAGTCTATTGATAGCATTTGTTTGACTTTTTTAAAGGGTCCATGGCTCTGAATCTTGGCTTTTTATGGTGTGCTGTGTTCTTGGGCAGCACCCTAGTAGCAGGGACATTTTCATGAATGTAACATGAATTTTACAGGCAACTTACATGATGTGCTTCAGCCCTCTTTATGGCGAGACTGACGAAAGGGGACCTCAGTTTGCTGCTGCCATTAGCTAATAGATCTCAGTCTTCTAGCCCAGGCAGTACAAGCTCCTGGTTTTAGACTGAGAATTTTATGAGCTAGAATTGATGGAGGGTGAGGATGGTGGAGATGTGAATCATGCTTTTATAATAAACCACCAGGTCCAGAAATATTTTGGATCCATATCCTTTGAAAAGAAGCTTGACTTTTATTTGAAAAAAGCAAGAAAACACGGCACTGAGGCTAAGCTATTACTGATATTAAACCACATACGAAATAAAACCACCAACGTATCAGGACCAATTATTGGAATTAAATCCTACCATAGCTTTTTTTAAAAGCTTAAAATTGAAAGCAATATTGTCCAATATTTGAACCACAACCTCTGAGCCAATATGCTTCTTTCTTAGCCAACAAGAAAGAACAGAATTCTGTTATTCCCCTGGACCTACACCTTGACAAATCACTTCTGCTTAGTGGAAACTACAGAGGACAGTCAAATTTGATCCAATCAGGTTCAAACTAAGTTATCTTGTTTCTCAAAGTTTCACTTAACTAGTAATTTAAAAAGTGTTCAGGTTTCATATATCACAGACAATTTAGAAAAGAATGCCAGGCACAACCACTCTGAGGGGTGAGTAAAATGGTGGGTTTATTGCTTCCTGTTTTAACCATACTGTGGACAGGTGATGTACAGACTGACCTATCTTATTCCATTTAAAGAACCAAAGTCCTTCCTCCGACAGCTCTAGTCCTTTTATGCCACTGAGGCCTTAGCTAGTAAAGTGGTTTGGAGATCGTTGGCCAAAAGAAACTGAAAATGATCCCCACTTAACTTTTTTTGCTCTTGTAGGACAAAAAACTAAAGAGAAGTATCACGAGTCCGGCCTCTGTGTCCAGTTGGCTGACTTCCGATCACTTGGCCACAGGAGCAGGCACCGTCGACAAAGGGAACGTAGCAACAGAAAACCATTATTCAAGACAACGAACTTGGAGTGCCCGAACTTTTCATGATTTATTGGCTCCAATACCTCAATTACAGAAAAAGTGGTGCAGTTGGAGCACTACCAGCCCCTTCAGCAAGCTGGTGGACAGCGGTGTAAGTATTTACAAGGAAGAAATAGGAATTGCATTCCATGCCCCTAATGACACCCAAAGAAAGGTTCATATTGTATAGCAACTCTGCTGCTTTCTTATATAAGCTCCCCTTCCCTTCTTAATTGTTTGAGCTCTAATGGTCCAGTCCCCAGTGTTCTTATTTCTGAAAAACAAATCATGAGGGGCTTGATTCTAAAGTGCTGATGGGAAGCTGCATTTCTCAGGCTTAAGCACTTGGAAGGATTGCTTACTCTTTAGAAACAGTCTCACAGTGGCTTCAGCATCAGTCTTGAATCACTGGCATATCTTTTTCTGGTTACATCTTAGTTTCTTTCAGCTGTTTTTCTGTACTGTGGGAAATCCATAAGCCCAAGATCATCTCATTGATTTCTGAAGTCCACAAACTTAAAGCCTGTTCCAGAGCTAAAAAAAATCCTTTTCTATCTCCACAACCTAGTGCTCTGGGAAAAGGAAGGAAGCAGTATGGCTTCTCAACCAGGGCAAGATATTTAAACTGTTAACTCCTATATGGTTAAAAGCCTGTTCTGTTAACTTATTCTTTTGGCAGGGTTTCTCTACATCTTCAAGAAACCAGGGTGCAGCAACTAGAAAAGTAATTTCTGACACTGAGGTAGAGAGCACCTCTGAGCCTGTTTACTCCGACTCATCCACTAGTAATGCATCATACCCACTAACCCAGTCTGCACAGAAGCAGCGGAAGCTGAGCTCCTGTAACTTGAAAAAATCCAGGTTTGGGAACCCCTACTTTGGGTTTTTAACCAGCTCCCCTGATTGCAAACATGTGAGGTCCTTGGATTCTTCAAGACACTTGGGGGCCATATCTTCAATTGACAGCCAAAGCCAGAGCCCAAAAAACTGTCTTGTAGGCTCCTTCCCTCTGAAAAGCAGTTTGGTCAGTGGCTCAAAGACCAAGGAGTTCTCATTAGAAAAAGACAAAGCCAATCACACCTTGGTTATTTCTGAAGAAGGGGATGATCAGCAACCTTTGGTCCTAGCAGAGCACCTGAGTCAATGTGGAGAGGCTCTGCCTGAGCAAACTGTCACGTGTGCTCCAGTGAAGAGTAGGCTGGATAAATCATCTGTGGTTCTGACTGTGAAGGGAGATGGGCCTGTTAGGCATCCCAACTTCATATCTGATGTGCCTCTTTGGGGACAGTCTCCTGGCTTAGGCAAGGAACATTTGAGGACCTGTAGCTCTTCTAGAGACCAGCATAGATCACCTATTGCAGGCACCGGTACCACTAAATCATCACAAAAGAGTGACACTGTGGATGCTCGTACATCAAGTCAAATGTCAGTTCAGTGATGCTTTCAGCCTTAACCCGAGCGATTAAAAGCATCAGGGTGCAAGAACAGATGCACTAAGCTGTTACCTTCTGTGGTGGAACAGTCAGGCCTGTGGGGAGTAGCAACTTTGCTTAATTTGTTTCTCCTCCCTATCAGCAAGAGTAGACTTATGGGTATAAACTGACAGCAGTGTGTGAAAGTCATATTCATCATGTTCACCTGGGCTTAATGAGTGTAACAAAGTCCTAGCCCTAGTTCCATTCTTCTGGCATAGAATTTTGATTGCAGTTTATGGAAGAGTGATGAAATGACTCCCATAAACAGGTTTTAATAACTGAATAACCATCATCTGCCAGTAGGGTAAAGGAAAAAGTTGATTTACAACTTTGGCTTGTGGCGTGAAATGGAAACCAGTCCTCAGGGTCTTTGTGATATTGCTTTTTGTATTTTTTTGGCTACAAGGTATGAGCCAAATTTTGCTCTCAAGCATATCTGCACAATTCAAGTTACACCTGGCTAGCTAGCCAAGGGTAGAATTTGAACTTGCATGTTTATGGATTAAAAAAAAAGAATCATGTTAACTTCTTTTAAGCCATGTTTCTATAGCTGGTGACTTTCACTTGGACACAAAGCCTAATTATCAACTTTTCTGGTTATTAAAGGACATCTAGACCTTCATACACCATAGTAGTAAAAGCAAAGTGTTGGCACTCTTTGATGTCATCCAAACTAACACAAGCTCCAACATTCAGTAGCATGGCATGCTTTCTACCTTCTTTGTTTTGTTATTTTTAGCAGACACAAATTTTAAGGGATCATTACATTCTTTTTAAGCAATTCTTCATGGCAACAGGAGTATGTATACAAAGGTAACAAAATATTTACTAGGAATAAAGTTATCAGCATCTGTTTCTTGATAGTTGCAGCTGCCGCTCTTTATGATACTGTATTAACCAACTATTTATTGCTAGTAACGCACATTGACTGGAGAACTGTTTCCCTTCCTTCAGCAGGCAAGACTTAAAAACTAAGTGGGGAAGACTTCAGAATGCTCTCTGTAGAAATGAACTCCTAAGTAGCTGTGCCACTCTGATTAAAGCCAAGGTTTGCAATGCAAGACTGAACCAAAGGGAAGTCTGCTAATCCGATTGCCTTTAATAACTGTATCAGTATTTTAATCGCCTCCCAATGATATTTTACTGTTTCAGCAAGAAGTACATGCATACGCAAGCTACAACACGAATGATCTGGCTTTCCTAAATTTAAGGAATCTTTTTGTGGACTGCTTTAAACTGATAAAAGGCTCCAAATACTCCATAAAACAGGTGCAAGAATGGGGAGGGGGGGGGGGGGGGGGGGGAGAAGAAATCAATAAGTCAAATCTGCCTCATGTCCACTATACTATGAATCAAACAAGGGATCTTAATCCTTCCAGACAAAGGCATCCAAGTCTGGCTTCTAAAAAACTTAACCCCAGTTTGGCCCTGACTTATTTATGATTTCATCTGCTATTCTAGCTTTCCTCTGCCATCTCTTAATGTCTGAAATGCATAACACATGGTCATAATTTTGCTTAGCATTTGTTTATGCAGATAGAAATAGAGCTAGTGTGCGGTAATGGCAGTGGTCACATTGAAGATGCCTTTTGGTAGCTTGTTCTCCAAAAATGAACTACACAACCAGGCCTCAGCTAACTTTAATATCTACCAGTCTGCCCTGAACAAAGAACACAGAACTCTAGCTCTAGGTTTTTTTAATAGTACATGAATTAAAGGGAAGAGTTAATATATTTATGACTTAAAAGGTTTAGATTTCTGCAATACTCTGTATTTTAATAAAGAATGTAATTGTGTTGGCTTCCATATACAATGCTACATTGTAATGCAAAGGCATTACGCTATGTTACTTATGTTGTTAGATTTCTAATTATCATGAACTGAGGAATCATCTTCAAAAATATTACTTGGGTGACCAGTACCTATCAGCAACTGCTGTTGGGGATGGGTGGGGATGGGAAAAGAACAAAATACTTTACAATAAAAGTATCACATGTTAAATTGCCTCTGCACTAAGAAAATTATTATAGACTCTTGATTCTGTTTGTACTAGAGGAGTCACCTCTACAGCTCTTGCTCCAGAACACTGGCATCCATGGTGCAAAGCCAGCATCTCATCCCTAAGGTAATGGGCAAACTACCAAATTAAATCAAAATTAACAGATGGTGGGGACAACCTTGGAGCAGCTGATATGTGGTACCTGTTTATGTAACAGCAGTTTCTTCACTGCAAGGGAAAGGTAACTTAAGCAGTTATGTAGGAAGAGGTTAGACTGCAGACCTAGATGCTGCTGTTTTGAGTAAAACTTGGTTTGGAAAATGCTTTTTTTCCCCCCCCATCTATTTTGATCAAACTACTTCTCTCGGGAGTGTCTGTACCTACTGTGCCAATATCAAACATGCCAGGATACACAATGTTTTTGAAGTATTCCTTCAGCCTCTTCTCCCTTGCACAAAACACTAGCTAGCAGCTGGTAGCAGGATTTCCAAAGGCAGTATAAGAGGGCCCTGTTTTGCTCGCTAGTAATAAAAGAACTGGATTCTGTGACTAGTTTTCTTTAACAGCTCTACTGTTCACAAGAGGCCAAAACAACAGGGAAGAGAGGATTATAGGAAGACACTTCATGGACTTGAATACACAGTTATTACCTTAATTTGACTGAGATTAGTGTTTAATGAGTTTCATTAATACTGAAGGGCTGTCCTATGAAACAGTGGATGAAGTAGAGACAGATGGTTGGGCAGGAAAATGTAGTCAACTAGTAGAAAACAATACCATGACCTTACTTTCAGCCATTTTTAAGGTCCATCAGATTACAAAGCAATACTGTTACTTTTTCACACTCCTCTCAAGAAATAAGTCATTGTGGTGCAGGCTAACTGGTTATCAACTCTGACTTATTACCTACCACAACCCACTTGTTCATTTTATTTTGTTTTGTTTTTTAAAGAAGTCAAAGTATGTTAAATATAGCAAATTACTCAGCAGTAAGTTCCAAACAATTTATGGATGGATAGGCTGAGGGTAAGGAAATGACAAGACTCCAGCTCCAGCTAATAGTCAGTTAATCCAAAACAGCTGTAACAGATGAGAAGAAAATACTCATCTTGAAAACTGAATATAAATTTTAAAAATATGCATGTTCTTTCTGGGAGTGCCTTTTGAAGTTAAGCCTCATATGGCACATTTAAGTAGTGAATTACAAAAAATTATATGGAAGTTAATGACCCGAGGCATGAAATTACATTATTGAAAGTCAAAATGGGTAAATGTGAAGAAGCAATCTTTACATATTAAGTGCTGCTCAAGGAAATAGCATAATTAGGTTGGGGGGGGGGTGTCAGAAAATGCTTAACACATTGCAATTTGGGTTTCTGCTCCCAAATATAATACTCTCACTGAGAAGGACCCCATCCTGATGACTGGCAAGTGCCTTATTGACAGCTCTCTAGATTGCAAGAGGGGAATTTTTATTCAATATTATTTTTAAAGAGTGAAGGATAGCTAGCTCAAGGTATAGGTGGTATGGATTAGCTACAGTATTAAAAGGTTTTTAATTCCCAATTTAGCTTGTGAAAACTGTAACAATTCAAAATGCTAGGATCCTAACCTGCTCTTTAAAACTTAAAGTCTTGATAACTTTGGCTTCAGTATTTTCAAAGTCAAATGAATAGCTTTAAAAACTCCTCTCATTAGACCCATGAATGCCAGAACCCCAGAGTTTCTTATAGCAGAATCTAACTTTTTCACTTGTAGTGGTTATTCACAATCTTAGGTCCCATACTTCTGAACTAGACCACTGAGAATATATTTACTATTACAGTAGCATTACTCTCTGTGTTGGCTTTTAAATCTTACTTTAGGTACAGTCAGTAATGGTGACAGGCACTATGGAATTGCTGAAGTACCTGTTCCTCAAGTCAGAAGAGTATCCAGTTCTTTAGTAGGAAATAAATGCTTTGTTCCTGCCCCTGGGACTGAAGTTTCTTATTTACCAGAGTTGTATTTGTGTAGATGCTTGAGTGCAACAGAGCTAGAGTTGTCATACAGCTAACTTGTTATAAAATCCAGAAGGGGTAAAAATCCTATTCAACTGTCTGACTATATTTTAAAGGAGGCCAAACTGAAACCCTGCAATGCCATAAGACAAGGACTTATTATTACAAGTTCAAGTTGGATACCTTCCTGTATCAAATATTAGCTACTTTCAAGGGATGGCAACAAGACCAACCATTAGAAAAAACATCCTATTGCTCTAAGTGCAGAGGTGAGAGATTGCCACCACAGAAGAAACACCAAGCTTCAGTGAGTTGTCTTTTTTTTTTTTTATTAATAACATTTTAGTCCAGAAAAATCACAAAAAATTGGAAGAACTACGCTCCACTTTCTTTATAAGAGAACCTTCTCAAAAGAGGGAGACTATCTTATTCACTGCTACATTAAACCCTATCATAATTAACCTGATTTTTCACAACACCTATCTATAACAGTTCACGCTTAGCTCCCAAATCTCTCTTATAAAGAAGGTGGGGGTGTGCTTAGGTTAAAAAATATGCTGCACCTTTACAGTATTTAAACAATTACACAAGCATAGTTTATACAGTTATCACATTAAACTAAATATCACCTGGCAACCATACATTTAAAAAGAACTAGTATAGAGAGTATGTAATACCCATGAAAGATGCCCTTAGTTACTTAAGAGCATATAAAGATCAGGATTTATTCACCCTCCCTATTTGAAAGAAAGTTTCTTAGCTCTTCCAAGTACAATATATCCACAAAAGAGTCATTCAATTGCACTACTTCAACCCCCTATGCATAGAAAGGCAGATTTATTCTCTAAATGGAGAAAAAAAAAGAGGGTATATCAAAGTAATTTCACAAATCTCTACTGTACAGGTAGTTTAGATGTTAAGAGCACGAGATTTTTCTTTCAAATTTTAGTAAGTTGCGTAATACACATCCCTATACACACAAACAGCTTGAGTAAGTGCAAGTGAAATTGTACATAGTACTGTAGACATGTTCTGTAACTCAACAAAAGAAATTCAGCACACTAGGGACTTGAACTCTAGCCTAGTGCCAAGCCCATGCTGAAAGCTTATCCGGGGTGTGGAAAAAGTGGCGAGTGAGAATGCAAACAACATTTCTGCATGTAATGTGCAAAGGCATTTTTTTTCCACAATGCATGCAATTTGCTACATGCACAGCCAGCAATGAAACTGAGACCAGACAGCTGGGAATAGTTGTCCTGAGAAGATACAATATAACTATTCATCCAATCCCTTTCTTCCCCTCCCCCCAGCCCTACCCCCCCCAAAAAAAAACCCCAAAAAAGACAAACAACAACCCAAAAACTTTCTAAATATAAAATAATGCAACAGAATATTTGTTAGTTTATAGTAAAAAAAAGTAGAAACAAACTCTTGTTGTTACATTTCAAGTATTATTCCAGATCTGATTTCAATCTTACTCGCAGGAAAAAATGCCCAGAGATTAGGAAGAGAAATCCACACAAAGTGTACTTTTTAATTGCATCAGGGATATTGCCCATAGACCCATCCTTGCTGCAGCTATTCTTAAGAATAAAAATCTGAGCACAAATGCATTATTTTTAATTAGCATTTATATTAAAAGTGTGCAGCACTGGATATATTGGTTTAATTAACTGACACTGGACAGATACAATGTGCTGTGTTATCTTGTGCTCCCTACTACTGTATGTATTTAGTATTGAAATATAAATTTTGTTTGCAAAACAAGGCTTATTTAAAATAACAATATATATACAGAGGTAATTTTGTACTCTTTCCTTCCATTCTGCTTTGTTCTCCTGGACTTAAAAAACCAAAAAACTGGTGTACTCAAATGCATGATTATGATATATTTGCATACACTCAGTTTTTATTTATTTTATGATGCTCAGAAAGCTTTTCTAACACACACTTGGGGAAAAAAAAAAGTGTAGCTTACAATCACTCAGTATGTCGCTGATTGATATCAGTGTCCCTTTTTATAATCCCTCCTCCCAATGCAAAAGAATTCCTCCATATTGCTCAAGTTCACCTGCTGTGGAGCTGTTTTGTAGATAATTCCTGCTAAAGTGACAGCCTTTTTAAACTTTTTTGCCAAATGTGTATGTGCTACAGCACAGCCACATGATGGAATTACATGCCTAACAAATGAAAAATGCCTTTAAAAAAATTGCACTAACTTGTTTTACTGGCTGCTTTGTACCAGGAATATTGTTTCAGTCTTTTGATATAATGTTGCTCTACAGATAACAAACAGAAGT